AATGGGCAGCGAATGTGACCTTTAGGAGTCTGGTGGAGAAAAGGAGGGTACTTACGGAGAGAGCTGAGCCTGAGGGTGCAGAGGGGACACTGCGCTTTCCTGTGGGCAGTGGTTCCTGGCATCCAACTGGCACCAGCACCAGAGCAGACCGAGGCCACAGTGCCCAGGGACCAAATCCTGAAATGACCATGGGCAAAACTAGTGGTTGAAAGCTGAGCAAAACTTCTGGGCTTGACCAAGATGAAGTGGGGAGGGCTGGTTCCAAATGGAGGGTGGTTTTCCTCTCAGATGCATTTTGCCATGTTCCAGTCTGTAATGGCTGCAGGGGAAAAGCCATTCAGCACGGCTTGTTTTGGAAGGTGGGGATAGAGTGGCTGGGCAGCTCCTCAAGATATCTTCTGTCAGTGTTGTGGTTTTACTGACTGTTCCTTGGAGGTGACCGGTTTCACAAACACATCTGGAAGGCTGCATCAGCCTTTCCTGGTGGGAAGATGGTGCCTCAGCAAAACTGACTGTGCTCCCTTGATAATGTGGCCCTTCTCCATTGTGGCACTCCATGATCTGCAGTCAGCGCGAGGGCACGTAGAGTCGGTGGCATCTTCTGGCCTTCACAACAACTTGTACCCCTCCTATTTCTCTGTTCCCATTCCCACTGCAACCTGCTGGTGTTGCCGGGCCTTTTCCCAGTGTCAGAAATGTAATCCTGTTTGATTTAAATGCCTTGGGTTTTTTTTTTTTGGATCATATTGCTGGAAAGGGTCTTGGGTGAGGTTGCTCCTGCAGCTGTGCTGGCGGACCTGAGAAGGCAGTAGCCTCTGGCAGAAGGCAGGGATGAATTACTTCTAAATGTCCATATGGCTGTTGCTCCCCAGCCTGCTGGAGCAGCCCAAAAGCAACTCCGAAGCTCAATTTTCTTTTTGCTCTTTTTACACATTGCTTTGTTTTTTAAGCTGTGCTGAGACTGTGATGCAGTGATGCAGACATTTGCTGGACGGTGGGGAGGTGAGGTTGGAGCACTAGAGGGCAGGAGGAGACGTTGCTGGGCTAGGACATCTCTGCACCAAACGGTGCCCCAGCCTTCCTGCACACACCCATGGTGATAATAATGTGAGGGGTCGTGATTCCTGGAGGGAGCTGGGATTTTATTGCTCACTGTGGGCAGCAGAGTGTGTCTCCCTCCCTGCCAGCTGAGAGGGCAGTCCCAGGGGATCCTGGCTCCAGAGTTCCCTCCAGCATCCAGGCTGCTGGACTTTGGGAACACTTGGCAAAGCCAGCAGTGTCTGACCTTTCTCCACATGCTCACCAGGGAGTCCTGCTCTTCTAAGGCCACCTGATAGTGAAGTCTCTTGGTTAGAGCAGCAAGGAGAGCCCAGGAACCAAACCACAGAACGTGCCCTTTGCACTATAGTGCTGCTTTCTCCAAGTGCTGCTTCAGCCTCCTGCAAACAAGCTGCCCAGTTAATGTTTGATTTGCCTGGTGGCGTGCAGCACGGCTGAGCCAGCGCAACAGAAGGAGCAACGCTGGCATATGATGCTGACCCCGCCAGGGGACAGGACGCCAAGCCCTGGGGTCCTCGACGAGGATTGCTCCACACTCGCTGAATTCCCTGTTAGCAAACACTGCCCGGGGACCTCATACCCTTCCCTCTGCTGCAGAATACAGGGCAGAAATCCAGGGTATTGAGGAAAATGGAGGCAGGGAGCTGGGGTGCACCTCTTTGACCCGTGGAGCTGGTGGCTCCTCAGTGCATTGCCACCTGGAGCAGATTTGTGCATGAGGATTTGTACCCTCGCCAGCCAGCTGCAAGGCACCAATTGCACAGCTCAGCCCCCCAACCTCCTTGCCCCATGTCTGCCCCACAGCTGGCCCCAGTGGTGACCGAGCCTGGGGCTGTGCAGAACTGGCAATGGCTGGTGGCCACGAAGCCAGCTCTTAGCAGCACTCGGATGTTTCCTGAGAAGCAGTGCATGAGTAGCAGGGTCTGGTCTGCTGCCAGCACAACTCGAAAGGCTCTTGAGGTCACAGGCTACGTCAGGCCAAGCTGGCTAAGAATGTGGCAGCTGCCAGGAGAGTGCAGGGTAGGCGATCCAGCTGGCTGGCTCGCGTGCATGGAGCATGAGAGCCACGCATGTCTCCTGTCTCTGGCTTCTGGATGCCCAACACTGGGCCTGGAATCTGCCACCCCATGGGTCCTGGTCCTCCTCATGAGCTGGGGATTTTCCAATCCCCATCCACCAGCTGCCAGTGCAGTCAGCAGAAGCCCATGCCATCCCAGTGTGGCTCTGTTTGGGGCAGAGGGAGTTGCTGGAGGACCCTGCTGGGTTCAGAGCTGCCATCAAGTGACTGGTGGCCATACCCAAGCACAGCAGCAAGTCTCTGGTGACAAGGCTTGCTCTCTGGGAGTCACCAGGGTGACACTGGTGCTGCGTCAGCATCAAGGGCTGGGTGTTTTCTCCAGCTCTCAGCAAAAAACAAAGGTCAGGGCTGGGAGGCTCAGCTGGCAGGGATGGTGGGGACGGCAGGGACAGGAACTCCCAGCCCCTGGAGCAGACTGTGTGGTGTCCTGGGTCATCGGACTCTGCTGAGCCTAGAGGTTTGAAGCCAGGGATTGCACGGTGTAATGCTTTCCCAAGGCATGACCAAGATAAGTGTGATCTGTGCTGACTCAAACCACCTCATGGGCACTTTGGCCTCGGGCAGGGCTGGAGAAGTTCCTCGTCCTCCCACCCGCTGGCTCGGTAGAGCTGGGACAGCTGGCAGAGAGCCAATGGCTAGCTCTAGGTACCTGCACTGCTGGATCTGACCCTCTGCCCTGCAAACAACACAGTAGCAGCATGCCCTGCTGGGTCTGGCAAGCCAGGCTGGGGTGCTGTGAGTCGCTCTTCCTCCCACCCCGTGAGTCCTTGGCCGGGGCACTGCTCTGGGCTGGGATTCAGCCTTGTCCTCCATGTTTTAGCCATTGGCAGCCGGAGCCCACGCAGTTGCCTTTTTCCTCTGAAGAGGAGTTGGTTGGCTCTTTTAGCAGTAGTTGGCTTAAAAATAAATCACACATCTTCCCTGTCACTGTAACATGGGCACATGGCTCCCTGCGGCCTTACTGCCCCGGCTGAGTCCCGCCAGCGCCCTTTCGTCGAGGCCGTGACAGTGCCCATGCCTCGATGCTGGTCCGTCCCTCTCTGCCAGCGCCTCTCCCACTGGCCTGGCTAGCCCTGGCTCTGCCACCCCTGCCTTTGGCTCCCTCCCTGCTTTCAGCCATTGCACAGTGCTGGGCTGCTGCCTCAGCCCAGCCTCACTCCGGCACATCCCTACCAAAGCTAATTTTGTTGTGGTTTAGTGCTGTGGCTGCACCCCACCAGCAAATGCTCTTCACCCCAGTTGCACCCGCACGAAGCTCCCTGTGGCCTGGACGGATCTTGCACCTTGGCAGCATGGGTCTGCAGCGTCTTCTCCGCTCCGGGCCGGATGCCTGTGGTGGGTGAGAGTGAGCTGAGACGGCGGGATCAGGCTGCCGTTTCCCC